GTAAAAGATAATATCCATTACATAAAAACCCCCTATCATCAGAGACCTTCAGAGGCTCCCTAAGTTTAATACAGTTTGCAGCATTTGAAACAACATCTTTTAATAAAGAATTAGGATCGCACAGATAAGACTACTTTAAGATTGCTAGACTGTCAAAAATACGAGAATTATAGTGATTGCAACCAGAACAGAAATTACATCTATTGATAAGTAGCAAATGCGTGGCCCCTCCCACAATCTAAAGTGGTTGTGTCCATGTAGAGATAACAGAACATATCACACCGGTCAGCTCACTATTCCAGCACTTCATCTCCTGATGCATCGTCAATTGAAAGGTCCGCCACTCACATGGAGCAAGCACTATAAAGCAATTCGCAAAGAATGTGAAGTAGGAGTACGCGTAATTATCAATTCTATTCAATTAGTAATCTCTAACTCTATTCACTGACGCCCAATTTTATGTTGGACCATTGAGACAATATATTATGCTTTTACAATGGCGTGTTGGGATTTTGTTGGGGGGGGAGTACTAATTGCTCGTATTTTTTTTAAGGCAGAAAAAAGATAACCTGGTTTTTCTCCTGAGCGCTCTCGCATCACCGAAGTTATTCTTATATCTTAGATTTCTGTTGTTCTGACCATGTGTGACATCTTCTTCTAAATACAACCACTTTATGGCCCATGTTGATACAACACACGTCTTGAGAAAAGATCCTTTCTTACTTTTACTCGAATTGTTAAGAAATTACAAAGTTATGCGTTGCTACTGGTCCTTTAATAGTTCGTTAGGCCATGCATAACCTTGGACACCCTATTTTTCAAAAGGGGGAAGAAATTCGGATTAATGGTTGTGAGAATAAGAACCAAGTAAGTGGAGTACGTCCAAATATTTCATCTGTTTTTTTCCTGAGCCTTCCGTTCTATGCTGTCTGCTTGACCAAATTCCACCTGCCAGCTCTTTCCATGCATAGATAGCGCGTAATACGAATGAGCTTTTGATTTAAGTACCTCTGGGGATGGTTCGAGTAGAGGGGCCATGATTTGTAGTGAGTATCATGCTAAGGTTGGAGGAAATCAACATTATAGTTTAATGGAAGAACTTTTTTCATATATAGAAGGTCTACGACTGAAAATTACAGAATTTTCAGCAATAAATGACGATAGGGGGTGTGTTTGAACTTATTGATTTGGCACCCTACCAATATTCTGTTTTTGCGATACCGGGACTCTCTATGGAGTAAGTAGGTGCCTAGCAACCCGGCTTACACGTGAACAGATTATAGGTTAGGCATGCCAAACCAGGCATGTATAAGAATAACTGGTGGAGATCTGCGAATATGATGATACGGAGAAAAATAGACATTCAAAGACTTTAATATATATATATATATATATCTAGAACTTATTATTTGAGTTAATTTTCAGTTCAATGAGTTAAGGAGGCAACTTGAATCAAAACCTATTATGTTCAAAAGTGAGTAGAAGATTACTTGAATGCAGCCCACCCCAAAAAAAAGGTCAAACTACATGCTTACTTCAGGCAGTTCTGCAGGTATAAAATAGTATTGCCAACTAAACATAAATTCAATCCCACAATAGACACTGCTACTGCCATTTACATAAATCTAGTACATCACAAAAGTGACCAAAATGGCAATTGGGCTTCAGTGTTCAAGGCCTACACAAAATGCATTTACACCCAAAAGGTTGAAATAATGAACTAGCATAAATGACCTTACCTTTTCGTCAGCAGAGTACTTAGTGCATTTGAAATAAAACCTGAATATTTGGATCCCCAAGTATGTCTGCAAATAGTTTTAACATTTCAGTCAGTTCACTGAACAATAGTAATACATATATCATAATCAAAGTCTGAAAAGGATGTATTTTACCGATCATAGAAACAAGGATAAATAGAGTGAAGATAACAATATTATAACCATAACAAGGGTATCCATCTTTCAAACAGCATAATGTTGAAATTTCATCCAATGTCACCTCATGCTGTTACATAGAATATGTTCGGTCAGGACATCATTTCACCAGGTTAATCCCTATGTGAAAGTAGAAAAGATAAGGTAGATGGTAAAAATCTGGCATCTAGAACAGTAGTAGATTTGTAGTGACAGTACTGGGGGTACATTGAATCCACATAAAAATATGGTTGCTCTACTTAGAAAGTGTCTCTAGATTTATGATCAATAGTTGCCTTCTTACACAACTTGTGTTAATCCTTCAACCTCAATTGGAGACATCTACCATTTGTCACTAGTCAGGAAATAATAGGTGACCCACAGAAACAGGGGCAGAACAATAACTTCTAATAAAGACAAAACAGAGGGAGATCCTGAATTTTTGTGCAAAAAAACTTATAAGGGATGAACTATGACAATGTTGAACTCAAGGAAATTGAAAAGGAAAAAAACACTAGATTATTGATTTCATTAGCAAAAGAGAGGCTTGAGTAATTGAGCGAGTCATCACTACACATGTCCCAAACTTGCTGTAAATGTATGTTGTTGTTTGGCAGCACCATAGCTTTCCTTAACAACTCTCCCAGCAATAATTCTCTTTCCAAACCTGTTTGGATATACACTTGTTTGGATATTATATTTTGTACAATATTTACATAAACCTAACCTTTATTTAAAACTTTTTATTCACATTTTTTCGACAAAAATTCTAATCTAACAATAGATGGGGCCAAAAGAAATGCCTCAAATGTACCACTCATATCATATTTGCCCGCCAAAAAGTGTCACAAGAAAAGACATTCCCAACAAGTCCATTATTAATTTTTCACTTACTCGTCACAAGGGACAAAATGGGGTTGACCCTCCAATAATGTAAAAGTGCTTTTGAACCCGCACAAAAACAACTACAGTGACAGAATATATATACACCTAGGGATGATATTTTATCAATGTATATGTGGGTGTGCTTTTTTTCCCTCTTTGTTTCCAGATAAGATAAAACCAAAGCAAAAATATAGGTCTATTGTCACTCAACCCTCAACAAAAACCAAAGCAATAAATAAGGAAAAACCCATCAACCCACAAGAAGATAAAAGGAAAACACTCTAGAGAATTTAGAGCTAAGTTCACTCAATCCTCAACAAAAAGCTCATTAATATAAATTACTTTAATGTCTTACCGACACTAGAATGGGAGGCTGCCTCCTTCTGTGCCTCTACATTGACATCAAGAGGCTGTGAGTGTTGGGCCATTATGGCAACTAAGCAGCATAAATTGAGATATAAGACATAAAATATAACGCATAATATTTACTTGAAAAGACAATGCAAAATATAACATAAGAAGGTAATGCATAAAAAACATATGTCCATATGGAAAACACAAAAGAAAAACTACATATCATAAAACCATGAATACTCGTTAACTCATCAATTTTTTCTTTTTTTTTTTTGGACAATTACACAAACAAAAAAAAAATCTCTAAGTTTGAGCCACTAACAAAAAAAAAATATTATATTTTTTATTTTGTCAATTTATAACTAGACCAGAAAAGCAGAAATACTATTTATAGGTTCACACATTAGCTTGTCACTGTTGATTCCAATTGGATATACAGCATTTGACATGACTACAACTATAAATGGATATAAGAGGTTGGTAACTTTCTTAAACTGTTGTGCTTTAACCAATATATACTAACCAACATGACAAAAATGAAAAGATAAAACAAGATAGACTTACCCAAAAGGCAATCTACAAGTTCATGGGATGCCTCCTCCTCTAAATTGTCCATTGAAACTTTGTTTCTTAAGCAACTCCATGATGCTTGATGTCATCCCCAAATGCTCCTTACTCGACTCATTCATCTTCGTTATCCATTTCTCGAGGTCACATTCAGGCAGTGGGTGGCTTTTAGCATACTCCTCTCCCTTACCACTTTTAAGATTCGGGTATTTTTTTCATAGTCTGTAGGTATAAGCTCCATCTACATTTTGTGGCCACCGCTTTGTTAACATCCGTTGATTCACCTTGCATGTCAAATATTGATCCTTACAACACCAAACTAAAAAAACTAGAGCTACCCAAGAGAAACAAAAGCAAATAGACAAACTAAACTAAATAAATTACAAAGAGAATCATCCTAAAATAAACCACACAAAGGAATGTTCATTTGCACAAACAAGGGCTATCAACATCCAATAGACTAGCCAAAAACATCACAAAATACACTTGCACAACCCTTAACAGAGAAAAAGCAAGCAAAACTAGAGAAGAAACTCAAGAAAAGCCCTTTCACAAACCGCACTAGCAGTAACCACCCAACATCAGCCACTCAGCATCAGCTCATGATCCAGCAAAGGCTAACACCAATACCCAGAGCAGCCCTTAAAGATGGCATGCAGAAAACCTAAGCAGCACCAACACAGGAGCAGCAAACAACATAATAGAAGCAGCATAGAAACTAGCAAACAAAGGAGAAGCCTCCAACTTGTTAAAGCACCACATATACAGCATAGGGCGGCTATTCCTATATATTACAAAGGTCCAAATACATTATATTTTGTACAATATTTACATAAACTTAACCTTTATTTAAAACTTTTTATTCACATTTTTTCGACAAAAATTCTAATCCAACAATAGATGGGGCCAAAAGAAATGCCTCAAATGTACCACTCATATCATATTTGCCCGCCAAAAAGTATCACAAGAAAAGACATTCCCAACAAGTCCATTATTAATTTTTCACTTACTCGTCACAAGGGACAAAATGGGGTTGACCCTCCAATAATGTAAAAGTGCTTTTGAACCCGCACAAAAACAACTACAGTGACAGAATATATATATACCTAGGGATGATATTTTATCAATGTATATGTGGGTGTGCTTTTTTTCCCTCTTTGTTTCCAGATAAGATAAAACCAAAGCAAAAATATAGGTCTATTGTCACTCAACCCTCAACAAAAACCAAAGCAATAAATAAGGAAAAACCCATCAACCCACAAGAAGATAAAAGGAAAACACTCTAGAGAATTTAGAGCTAAGTTCACTCAATCCTCAACAAAAAGCTCATTAATATAAATAACTTTAATGTCTTACCGACACTAGAATGGGAGGCTGCCTCCTTCTGTGCCTCTACATTGACATCAAGAGGCTGTGAGTGTTGGGCCATTATGGCAACTAAACAGCATAAATTGATATATAAGACATAAAATATAACGCATAATATTTACTTGAAAAGACAATGCAAAATATAACATAAGAAGGTAATGCATAAAAAACATATGTCCATATGGAAAACACAAAACAAAAACTACATATCATAAAACAAAACAAAAGGTATCCATGTCAGCCCCAGGCTCATATACCTGTCAACATAAAAATTTGTTGCTGAATCCCCACATGATCTGAATTCACTCACTAAGCATAAAGGGCATTTTAAAACAAATAAATAAAAGTGAAAATTGCCATAGTTCTTAAGTTCTGATAAACAACAGAAGTCAATAAATTCTAGTATTGTTTTTTAGTATAGACTTGCTGCAGACTAGCCTGTGAAGCCAAATCAAACACATCGTAAATAATATGACTTATTGTTCTATAAAGCATCCTGGAATTCCAAAGGTGTTTCCAGTGCACAAAATTTGAGTTCCTATTCAACATATCATTTAGCCCTTTGACAAGTCTAGCCTAGTAATAACTCTTCTCAACCACTAAAAGCCAGAATCATCCCCTTCATTCAGTTTTCATCCTGGGCTACTAACTCGTGACTAAAAACTATTTTTTTAATTTTTTATAAGTTAAAAAGTACATTATCAAAAACTCCTTGAAGGGGGCAAATCTTATACACTCAAAAGGCCAAAGCTTGGAAGCTATACATGCATGTACAAACCTCTTAAAAACCACACAAAAGACAACATAGAGGAGGAATCCTCTCTCAACCAAAAAATGGAAGTTGAACATATGATATTTTGCTCTCTATAGCATCTTGAAAATCCAAATATCAAAGCTAAATTCCTCATATACAATTTCAAATCTTCCTATAAGGCGGAATGATAGATGCAAGATTCACATTAACACATTGTAATTCTATTATGAGTTTTTCCTCTAATTATGTTACCATGTTTTAATTATAACTGTTTTTATGATTCAAGAGCTGTTGCTATTGAGAAGGTTGTTTTATATGACAATTATTTATTATAGGGTTTCATAAGGCCTATAACATGACCTCTTAAGAAAAAATGAGAATAGGCCTTGGAGAATGACTAGAAGTTGAACATGGAAGAACTTATCTTCTTCTTCTTCACTCATCATCTCTTTCTCTTCCCTGATATATGTCCATTCGCTCTTTCATCTCTTATCTACCTCAGTACTCCATATATTTCTCCTCACTCTATTTCCTTCTCCTCTATTTCTTCATCTCTTATTGATATATCTATCTCCATGTTGTCCCTAATCTCTTATTCCTATATTGTATTATTGTATCTGTCTATTTTTATCCTTCAACTCTTCTCTCCATACATTTAAAAGAAAAAAAGAAAAAAGAAAAAAGAAAAAAACAAATTGACAAGCTTTGTTCACTAACCAAGTGTTCAATAATAGTCTCATGTGATCCTGGTTACATAAATTTGGTATCAACGCAAAAGTGATGCAATCCATAAGAAGCAAGAAAAAGTAAATTTAAGGAATCAGAAAACCAAAAAAATGTACGGCAAGCCTGTACTTACCCCCAAGCGATATGACCCAAAAGTAAATATGACAGCATTTGCATCTTCTATTTGATCTGTGTAACCTCTCTGATGGGTTAATTGCTTCATTCTAGAACTAACAGTTTATTATATTGTAGTTCTCTTTGACTCGTCCATCTAAACAAATATGCCATAAATGTAATGGTTATTATCTTACATTTAAACAAATAAAATGATAAATAAAATGAATAGAGCTATTGGAGAGCAGTTCTAACTTATGGCTATGCCAGAGCAATATCTAATAGTTTAATGCTCTCAATGTTCAAATTTCATTAATAAATGCAAAAAAGAACAAAGCAAATAGCTACACAATAATAAGATAATTCCCTTTCTTTTGAACCACAAAAAACAGAGCATTCCCAACCCTTTATATATTTGTTTTTTTATATGGTACATGATATGATATTATATCATATGATGATTCATATAAATAGTAAAATTAATAACATATAACATTGCTAGCATAGTTCAATGACAGAAATCCGCGCGCATGAGCACTCCTCGCTTCCCGGGTCTGCTTTATCTAATAACTTAGCTTAGATATTTGTTGTAATTAATTAGTTGTAGCTAGTTAATTTTGTGAAGTGTTGTAAATAATTAGTTAGCTAGACTAGTTATTTAATTTTGTTTTGTAATAATTAGTTAATTAGCTAGAATAGTTTATTAATTTGTTGTTCTAATAATTAGTTAAGTAGCTTAGCTAATCTATTCATTTCGTTTTGTAATAGTTAGTTAATTCATAGTAATTAGCTTAGCTAGTTAGTTGAATTGGACCCTCTCGCGTAAGGGTGCAAACTTGTAATAATGTGTATGTCCTTTAACTCCATGTCTTTCTCCCTTTTATTTATCTGCTTATGATGGTTAGTTTAGGGCATCACGTTTCTTTGGGCATCTTTCATGATTTGCATTCACTTGTTTTGCATGTACTGAGGCTCGGTACATCATTCTAACTTGCATTGTCGTTTAAATACTTCTTTGAAAAAGGTGCTTAAACTGTATGCTCTTAACTTGATTCATACGCCATATTAGTAGCCAAGCCTAGTAATCGTATATCGCATGTGTTACATTAGTCATGTTGCATTAGTTAGAGCATGCATTTTTCTAACTCTTTTCTTTTGACTCGCCTTGAAGTACTAGGTGAGCATTTTTGCTTTAGCATAATTGCACAAATGTAATTGTTGCCATGTTTAGCATGCTTACCATGAGGCTAATTGCTTAAATGATGAATTGCTTGAATGCCAGTGGATGAAGGCTAATTGCTTGAGTTGGATTAATTTGAGTAATGTTCATATGTGACATATTTGAAACAATTTTCAAAATAAACATGAATCAAGTGTTCCGATTTTTGCAATTAGTCTATACTTGTGTGCGCATCACATAGTAAGTTAGCTTAATAAATTGGAACAATAGTATATAATGTAAATAAGATTCACATCATGATTAGTAGAGGCCGATCTTTGATCTGGCGAGCAGGGGTGCTCAATTCATGACATTCCCCTCTCGTACCTAAGTTTCCAAGCTGAGACAATCTTGGTGATAACGGACACGTGGCCTTTGGCACAAGTCATGGGTTTCCTAAATTTCCCAAAAATATTTAGGTGGTGACTCTGTATCTGGCAAAGCAATCCATTTTTGGCATTTGATTAAAAATCGATTTTTTCAAAAGATTTGCTGGATTTGGACTCTTTGATGTTTATCTATTTCATATTGCACTTGTGAGATTAGATTCAGAACCACGGGAGTCCGATACTGTAGGGCTTATTTGTCTTCCGAAATGAGCACGAAAAGTTGAGCTACAGTTTCTAGCGACTCTGCTGGAGAAATTAGAGAACTTGAGTCGAACTTCATGATGTAAAATTTTATCTACACCTATATGTTTCTTTGCATTTGCATTTGCATTGGTGCGCTTAAGTCACTGTGTTTGCCATCTGCCATTCCTGGACAGTTTGCCAGAGGCTTGCCAAAAAACTTGCCAAAAGGCTGACTGGTCGTGGGCTCTGCCATGATGGGAACACAACCCTTGGATTTGGACTACCACTGTACCGTTTGATCCTTCTTTCACTTCTCGATGTTAGGTGTGAAAAGTATATTAGGTAGTCTTGTTAAGGTACCCTTTTTGATCATTTGGCCTAGTTGCTTATCGAAAAGCCATAGAGGTTGTTCCAAACTAGGAGAAGATGCTCACCCGAAATGTAGGATTACGTGAAACTGCTTGATTGAAGTAGTGAAACCCTGGATCATGTCAAAGCTAGGACAGGGTAACCCTACCCCCTCATAGGGGTGTTTTGGCTCTCTTTACCTGGTATGTGCTTTGTAATGAAACTGTACATGGGTGATTTATATCAGTGGTACAATTGGTATCTATTTTGCGGCAAAATTTAGTGTGGAGTACAGTCACTCAACTGTGATCATATCTGTTCTAGTGAAATTAGGCTAAGGTGCTATCTGTTTTCTCTTTTGCTAGGTAGTCGTGGAACCATAGCTTCAGAAGGCTCCAATATCCCCTAGGTACTCTAGACTCGTGTCGATAAACTTTGTAAGGTCGGGGACCTAATCCAGGGACAACCAGTGTTTGCTTCACTGCCGCCGATTACAAGGCGAAGGAGTATTAGATAGAATTCACAAATCCAGTTCCTACAACAGCCATTCCTTAGCTCACCTATGTCCAGTCCAATTTGGGAACAGTCATCCACTTCCAACCCAGCACAAGACCAATCACCTATTCTAATGGCACAGTATCCCCTGGCAAGTATGGAAGAATTGATACACCACTAGCAACAGATAGTCAAGACACTATAACATAACGCAGTACGTTAAGTCAAGGTTACGGCCAGTCAGACCGAGGTTATAACCAAGCTACAGCAATAGCAACCGTAGCCAACAGCAGTCTCTGCATCCCATGTACCCATCGCAGCTATCCCTGTGCCTGGTGTCGCTGCTAATACTGCTAATGTCCAAGAAAACCAGGGCAATCCAATAGAGCCAATCCCATCACAAGCTTCCAAAGCATTGGTTTATCAAATCGAGGCACCATTTGAATTCAAAGTCAGTCGAATTATGCTCAAAGTCAACAAATTAGAGAAGTTGTTCAAAAGAGCACAAGGGGTTAACTCCATCCCGAACATAAATGATGGATACAATGATCGTTTTGACAGCTCCAGGGATCTGATGGTCCACTTGCGATTGCTTTCTGATATCTTGCAGCTGATGGGCTTAACTAGACCACATAAGTTATCCCTCTTTGGTTGCACCATGTCGGGTATAGCGGCCATTTGGTATGCTAAGTTAGAAGATTCCATCAAACAGAATTGAGAGGAGATGGCCAAAGCCTTTATTGCTTAGTACTCTTACAATACACAGATTGAGGTCACAACTTGTGATCTCGAGGTAACCCGTTAAGAGCCGAATGAGGGTTTCTCTGAGTTTGTGACAAGATGGAGGGCCAAAACCTTGATGATGACCACGAGACCTTCTGAGAAGAATCAGATAAGAATGATTATTCGAAATTTGCATGGAAAGTTGCTGCAGAAGATGATTGTTCTACCTTTATTTACCTTTACAGAGCTTCATGAAATAGGGATCCAAATTGAGGATGCTATCAGACAAGGGATCATTATGGAAGATAATAAGCCTTTGAAGAAGAATGTTGTTCGTAGTTCCAATGCTACTACCAATGGCAGCACAGCTATGAAATGCTCAGAAGTAGACACTGTCACCACTCCCATCAATAACCAAAAACCAACCACTTCAACTCGACTCCAAGCTTGAAATTTTCATCCTCTTTACGTGAGTCTTCCTCAAGCCTTGAAAATGCTGCTAGAAAAAGGGAACCTAGAGCTCCTAGAACCCTGACCCCTCTCAAATCCTCTTGCACCAAGACATGACCCAGCTAAATGCTATGTCTATCATCAGCAGTACGGTCATGATACAAACCGTTGCATCCACCTCTGTCATAAGATCCAAGATCTTATTGACGAAGAGATCATAGCTCCACTAAAAGGACCTCAGGCCACCATTAACCCATTATCTTCGCATCTCAACCTAATCCATACACCACCATTGTCATGACCCAAACCCGCCCCTATAAGTTTAGCGTTGTAACCGGCCAGTAATACGTAGATTACCTACGGCCTCAAAGACAAAATTTCAAAATATTTAATTTTATCGGGCCTGAAGCAGAAGCAAAACAAAAATGATGATGTCCATCGAGCTGTGCGTACATGATCAGCTGCAGTAATTAAAACGTTCTTAACACACTTTCATATATACATGTACGAAGAGATACTTCATATCATATCTCACGCACTACGTGAAAGACTTTTAACCAAGTCCAAATATTATCCCAAGCTTGACAAAACAAAATAGAACAAAGCCTCAACAAAGAGGCACTCCTCGGTGGCTTGACAAAGAGGCGGACTCTTGGGCAAACTCTAATGTTGATCCTCCAATTTCTCACCTACACCTACACATATATAAATATAAATAGAGAGTGAGCTAACGCCCAGTGAATAATACCAAAGTAGAGAGGTTATATGAATGAGATTCTTAGTTAAGTAATTCATATTTATGCATAACACATGTAAATCCAAATCAGTACGACTTCAAGTTCAATCCATTATGTTCAGAGGGGCAAAACGACCTCAGGTCCAAATTACTTGTCCAATGATATTACAAAGCGGCCTCGGGCCCAATCATAATATAGAACGACCTCAGGTCCATCATTTCCATATCCATATCTATGTGCATATTTATACTGAACGACCTCAGGTCCATCATTTCCATATTCATATCTATGTGCATATTTATACTGAACGACCTCAGGTCCATCATTTCCATATTCACGTCTATGCGCATATTTATACTCGTGATCATGATCACGTCTGTATTAGGATGGCCTTAGGTCCATTTTGTGTCCTTGACACACATATTAGACAGCCTTGGGCCTATTTCTTATCAAACATATCCTTTGTCAAATATATAGAACGACCTTTAGGCCCATTTCATATTCATTCAAAATGACCTTTAGTCCATGTAATCAAATATACAGAATGACCTTTAAGCCCATGTCATATTCATTCAGAACGACCTTTGGTCCATGTAATCAAATGATTTCGTGCTATTCAATTTCATTATAGAGTTTAGCACAATTAGACGAATAGAATGCTCATTCATAATTCGAATTCATAAATCTAGAAATCTTACACATGAGTAGTATTTAAAAATAGCATATATGAACATATCTTTACAAAAGTATTACTCACAGTGTTCTGGTGCTTGATTCGTCGCTGCGCTTGACCCTACATAATTTAAAACACATTGGGTCATATTACAATTCATTCCGTTCTTTAACTTGTTTAACATTCTTAGGCTCCTTCCATGTTCTCTAATTCATTTACAATGTTTAATGCATGCCTAAGAGTGCTTTGAAATGAAAGAGAATGGAAAACGAAGCATAAAACATCTTTTCAAAA